TTCCCAACCTATAAGTGCATTTTGTGCTTTTCTAGACAGCATCAGTGCCACTCCTTGTGTATGTGGGGCATTTTCTTCTTCATGACCGGAGTATAACAGAAGTTCTCCTGAAGACAGTCGTTGTTGTCCAACCTGCGTCCAATGTGTTTCACTGATTCCAAGCACTTCCAGGTTGTATTTCCTCATTTCCGCAGAAATTTGGAAGACTCTGCCGGTCTCCCACATTGTCCGGACATTCCATGTACCTATAAAAATTGTCGCTCTGGTTGTAAGAAGGTGCATCGGCCTCATGACTTCCGAATGAACTCGGCTTTCATCATGAGACGTCATTTTTCCTTCTACTCCCAGGGCAGAGTTTGAATGGTTTGAATGATTTTTTCTGGTTAGCGTTTTTTTAGCGAGTTGATTTTCTACGGGATGTGGTCGCTAACCCCATGCCCAACCCTCCTCCTTTACCCGGGCTTGGGACCGGCAGTAGCCCACGTAGTAAAATAATTTTGGTTTAAATGTCTACATCACACAAATATAAACGGTTAGTTTTTATATAAGGAAGTCTGTGTGAACAAATTTATGTTCTCTAAAATAACATTAAAATTTGCCATTTGAAAATTTGCATGACGGTACAATTATGAAGTACATACGACATTTTATATTACAAGAGTATGTCGAATATGTCGACAGGACGGATGATTAATTTGGTATTTTATAATGACTAATTAGTATGGTTCTAGTCGCTACTTTGCGTCGAATAATTGGAGAATATTCGTTCGGTTTTGAGGACTTATTGTCGAAAGAGTTGTTCATAATTTCAAATGATTTTTTGAAATATAGCTTAGATAGAATGTGGCTAGCAGTAAAATTCAGAACCCTCGTTTCATTAGATTTGGGATTCGTCACTTGGATGTACCTCTGTCCCAGAGTTGATGATCGCTCCGGGATTCCAGTTCACTACTTTTGGTCTCAAATATCAACACGTCATTAATTTAGCTACTGACTCAAACTCGTCATTCACTTTTGTAATGTGTATGAATTATAATTTAATTCAGAATCGTGTTGAGTAAACGTTTACTACCTTTACTTGATGAGATATTCCGTGGTTTAGAATTTTCTTTATTCTTAGCAATAAGGCAGCCCAATCGTGAAAACAGCATCTTGATTTGAAGGGATAGGGCATATTTAACACATGTCTCAAGATTTACTGTCTCATCGACCAATCTTCCATATTTACCTGGTACTCTGTGCCTAACTTCAGGATTCTTCAATTGGTGATTACAAACTTAACACATGATTCCTCGAAACCATCTGTGTTCAAATGCGAAAGAATATCTACTATTCTTAAAGGTAAATTTCCATGACCGTAAAGTTGAACGTAACAAACTACTGCATAGTAAACTTGTCCTTTGAATGGCTTATATGTCAAGTGACGTAAGTTGATATAAACCAACCGAAGTTATGAATCTGTATCTAGATTTTGTTATGCAGTGATATACCAAGGTTTATTAAACTTTTAGTGTAAGTGAAATTGTCGAAACCATCAAATAGTTCACTTACTATCATTGCTTCAGACGTTATGATAGATCAATCATGAAGCAACATTCGTATTTGGATGAAGTGAAACGTGTCTAAGGTGATCAGAAGACACTGGATTTTGTCATCAATTTCACCACCTTAGTGTTCAAAATTAATAAGTCAACTTCCTGTTAGATAAATTTATAAAAAGTTACAGTGCAAAACGGTCATCCTTAAAAGAATATATATGGCAAATCTAAACAAAAAATTGAAGAAAATTGATAACCTTGACGAACATCAAATGACACAATCATTTTTAACGACAGTTCATCATAGGCTCTGACTCACAAAATAATATACGAGTGAAGATCGATCACAAAGTTTATTGACGTCTTTGGTAATCATTTCACTGACAGACCCTACCGTAGAACATCTCCTTCTATGGAGTTGAATACTTTCTTCAAGTAAAGAAATGCTTGTAACTTAGAGAATCGGTAGGTATTTCTAGCTTGCCAAACCTGATTATTGATTAATATTTGGCTAAATCATTCTCGTCCTGGTCGAAACCAGTTTGACTTCCATGGATTTGTTGTTCAGAAGACCTAATTAAAAGTTGGACGATTATTGAGGCTAATGTTCTAGAAAATACAAAAGTCGAACCGATTTCCTCGGTACTTATCACACAAGGATTTCCATTTTTCATTTAAAATTGATAAGACCAACAATAGTCACAATTAGTATGAAATTAATTCAATTCCCTTCCCCCAGAATCAAACTAGTACCTCAGTTAATTTAATTGCCAACATGGAATCACCATACTTAAATATTTTCGAGGTTTAATCACCATGGCTCTCCACTCTTCTTAATTTTAGCCTTTACGATTTCACTAAGAATTGGTGGAAAGCTTATCTTGACATCCATTTCAGGTTGTTTTTTAACAGTAGGCGACTAATCCAGGTAAACTGTTCCTTAAATCTTCGTTCATCTCTCATACTCACTCGATAAAGTGAATGGACGTAAGCAATTGAGCTATTAGTTTTATAAATCGTCAACTCGTATAATCAAAACAAAAACTGTTTCCTAAATATGCTTTTAGTAATCAATGGTAATTCATTACACTTGATTTACACTTTCGTCTGATTTAATCTAATATATTTATTTATTTAACCAGACACTTTGTACTTCATGTATTTAAAAAAACATTCTATTAACTACAGATGAAAAAAATGTTTGCTCAGAAGTTATTTCAACATCATTACTTATAACCTATTTCAGATGCAACTACATTTGTGTCATTGAAACTAAGGGTACATCTGAATGTATTAGATGAGAATTATCGCCTGATTTCACACTCTTTTCATAAATTAGTTACATTTTTTAGCATAGAATATCTTTACCACATAAGAAGAGTTTGTCGTATTCCGTTATTTTCCTAGGAAATTTCTCATTAGTAGGACAGTAGAGATGATTTACATCAGAGGAGATCATTGGATTCGGTATTTTCAACAATTTTTAAAATATCTATTAATGTATCTTTTTCTCAACTGAAAACAAGTGTTACAACCTTGATTAATTCGCAATATATTCTGGTATTGCAGGAAAAGATTTGTCTCGATTTAGTTTACAACCTGGACATGATAGATTACTTAGAAAAATCTTCGAACTTTCAAACCATGACTACAACTTGTGACTGAATGGCTATAAGGGTAGAAATAGGACTAACTTATCACTGATCTATGGCTTACTTGCTTGGAAAAAGGGAAGACGAACTAACTGGAAAGATCATCCGATTTATTCCTGGTTTAACTTATTTTAAAAGGTACATATACTATACACATGACTTACAGGATCATAATGTACAAGGAATGATAAAAATAAAATCAGATTCATAGTAGTACGTTAGAGTGAAATAAATGGAATGAAAGAGTCACGCTAAAGTTACAGTTCTTTTGGAACAGAAGAGAATATGACTGTAATTTACATTTCAAATTTGAATTCATGACTCAATGTTTGCTAGACTACCATCGAAAACCTAGTGGTCTAGCTTGAATGGACTCGTGAATTCAACTTTGAAAATACTACTATCTCCAAAAATCTCCAAAATTAACAGTTACTAATGCATCAAACGAAAGCTTATGATTCATTGAATAAATCGAGCACAAAACTAAAGGTTTATACTTTACAGAATTCTAATGAAGCGTGTTTAAAAATGTAGACTTCGTTGGTTTTTTTATTTCTCTCTTCACATTAGCAAATCAATGGTATAAAGGATAGTAAGATTTAACTAAAGATACTACACATATGTTTCTTGGAACTCTTCTCTATTTGCGTGTATTCGAAAACGTCTTTCTTTAATACTTGGTGACTGACTGAGAAGTAGATATAGATTAAAGAAAACTGTGAAAAAAAAGCTCAGCTATGGTTAAAAGAGTGTGGTGTAACTGATGCAGTCTGAGATCTATTGTGAACTAATATTTCTGTGTATATTGTTCGTAAAGTTACTTTAAAGGAAATATGTTTTTATAATATTTAGCTGTGTCAAATGTTGTCGAAACTCAAATAGTTCCCGTTTTGTTAGTTGTTTAGAGAGACTTTTAGCTTTACTGTTTATAGAATGCATACCGATTTACAGCATGATCAGGTTAACATAGAAAATAGGGTTACATGTAAAGGTCAGAGAAGGAGAAAAGAAAACGGAGAGAGAAAAATTAGAACCAAAATGACAAAAAACGCAATGATAAGGTTTGTCGTTGTATATGCGTAATGCCGTTTTATGATCTAGGAAATATATTATCTGAATTAGTTAGATTTCCTGGGGACAGTGTATCAGAAAAATATCTGAAGGAGTGAAATTTTAATAAGTTCACTCAGTAATAACAATGATTAAAGATTTAATGTACCTAATTCAGTCCTTTGCAGCTCTCTTTCATACCACGACATCATGTCATACACTGGCCACCTATCCGCTTTTTCCAACCAATCCCAGCGTCGGCAAATATTGCACGACGTGGAATTCTCTGGGATGACATTCGTAGAACATGTCCAAGCCACTGGTAGTTACATCGTATGCAGATTGCCTCGACATAGTTATTATGACATAAGATGATAAACAATGGATAAAATATGGCTAGCAGTGGAATTCTGGATGTCTGTTTCGTCATAATTGAGACTTATCAGCTGAGTGCACCGGCATTCTAGAGTTGATATCATCATAATTTAGCAAGTTAAATGATATACAGTAACACGTATAATTAATATGTTGTCCCATTATCCTAATATTAAAGGATAATAAATAAAATCCTTGTGTAAACGGAAAACTGGAGGCAAGCAACAACCTAATCATCATTTTCACCAGGTATTTTTTTTCAATAATTAGTTTTTCTATTTACAGCTTTAAAAATAAAGTTACCACTATGATTGGACAATTCAAAATAGACCAATAAAAACAAACACGGAGAAAATGAAGTACATAAGTAACCTGAAGACAAGAAATCTACTATTGTTTCACGAAAGATTAATATTATATTCTGCAAAAGAAAAAAAAGCCACACCTAGTACTGTCGAAGTTCTTATCGTTAAATGTAATCACCCTTCCCATACAATATATTACTTTATACTTTATTATCTATCAAATGAATCTTGTGAAAGAAACAATATTTAAACCATAATAATTTATTGATGAAAGATTCATTATGAATGAACATTATCAATAGTGTAAAATAGAACCATCATCTTAATCAAGATTATATAGAAATGAACTAAATCAAGTTGGCTAATACTTAATTATGTAAATGACAAGATTGGTACTAGAATCTTGGTAGGACATGAATATTCTAAGTTCATGAGAATTAACATGACAGCTTGAAAGAATTAGTTGTAAAGTGAGTGTGATGATTTTTTAACCATTGTGTTTGTCTGCTTTTATCAATTATCATGTTCACTATTATATATTACAGTTTTCATTGATGTTAATTATTTAGTTTTTTCATTTCTTTGATTGAGATCATGAATCGATTAAATGCTAGACTACCATTTAAAACCCGAAAGCTCCACACGTTCGTTCTGTCCTATTGTGGGACTCCTCAGCTGTGAGTATCCACAATCCCGCTCGCGGGGTATCGAACTCAAAACATTCGGTCACGCGTGCAAACGCTCGACCTCTAGAAAACTGAGGCGGCATCCAACGGTGTTAATATTTAGCCTCAACCAATCCATGAAAATGCGCTAACATCTTCCCTTGTCTGGGGTAAATACCTGTCTCTTTCTGACAAGGATTAGTTCCACTGGTCATGGCTTCTCACTAGAACTCCAAGAATTCCCTTACGAGGTTAGTCACTACTGAGAACATGGTAATTATCAATGATGGTTTAACATCAATCGATTCATGATCTCAATCGAAAACCTATAAATCTTCATAGCTCTATACTGTTTTTTTATTAGTGACTGATATCACTTAGATTAACCAGTAAGCTTTATGATGAAACATGTCTTCTCAGTTATGTAGATACGTTTATTAACGATGGAATATCATTTTAAAATTTTTAAATATACTTTGTACTTATGTATGAATACATATAATGGATACTAGAAATAGCAAAAACAATGTCAGTTAAGCATATTTTACATTTCTTTTTACATATGTTGATAACTCTGAAATGCAGCTTCATATAACCGACAAGGTCTAGATCGGACAGAACGTGCGTCCTGAATTCCTTGGCTAGAAACGCTCAGCTGTGCCTAAAAATGCTTGTGATTTTGCGACAATAGCATGAAAATCCGTGAAGGATGCACATATGTCAAAAATGACTGATCTATTACAGACCTAAACATCAATGAGAATATCTAAACAATGAATACAAATGAGTAAGTCGACAACCGTTATTCACTCCTTAGCATTCATTTGATTGAAATACAGTTAATAGACTTATCAATAGAGTAAGTTATAGCGATCATCGTTGGTTTTTCATCTAATATTGTCATTCAACTATATTATATCAAAGTAGACATTAATCTTAATAATAATATTGTTCAATTACAGTTTTTATCAACGGAAATGTACATATTTTGGTGGTTAATTAAATCATTCATGAAAGGAAATCCTAAGCTACCTCAGAATGAAATAACAACAAAACTAGATTAGCTAAATGGAATAAAAACGCAATTCGTCAAAATTTATTTAAAACTAAAGTTGGTTTCATTATCTCAATAAAAGATTGAGGAGAAGAACAAGTAGAGCATAGAAAAGAGTCAAAACATTAGCAGATATAAACCCTATCAATGAGTTGAATCTAATTCTTTACACATTTGTACTGCTGTATTTGTGGATATTAAATATTGGATCTTTCATAGAGGTCGATACTGACTAACTTTTGATTTACATCTCTTTATTAAGATTCTTAAGCAGGTTACAAAGGTATAATCTAATTTATAGATGATTAATGTTTCTAGATTGATGAAACAGATAATTGAGTCTGATGTTAAATATCATTTCATAAAATTCTATATGTCATGCTTTCCTAATAGTTTGCATATTGTTATTGACAAAAAAGTAAATATTGATCATCAGATTATCTAATAACTAGCAAAAATAAAACCTAACAAAGTCAGTCTTCATTAAACCATTAGATAAGACATGTCGGCATATCTTTAGGGCAAATCAAATGGTAAGATGGACGAATATATCTAAGTAAATTTTTATGAAAATTTTCAAGCTAATTTTCTTGATGAATCTTAATCGTTATCCTCTATTATTTAATATATCCTTAAGGTTTAATTCGTGTAATTTAAGTGAAGCTAAGATTAATAGCAATTGATTGTACACAAGTAGATACATTTTACAACATTTACTCAGATAATACAGCTGCTCAATTATATTTATTCACTGAACATAATATAGTACATATATAAAATATCCTATATCCCTAAGACTCACTCCCTGACCATTCACAACGTAAATAGATGTTCTTTCTTAACTCTAGTTTGAAGACTTATTTGTTTAATAGATAGCTTATTTTGTATATTATGTTCACGTGTTATGTATGGTAAGTAATAATAAACCACAGTGTTAAGAAAGAAAACTGATTTGTCAGTGTTGTGACTACTACTAAATCCTGGTTACTCCTAGTTAAACTAATTACTATGGGTACATAAAAAACTGCTATCTGCTACTTGTTGAAATTGAACAAGACCCCTACGACAACTCGAAGGAGAATGTGAGACTATAGAAGACTGATTTATTCACCAACCACTAATTAAAGAGCTCCCACAATAATACTGATAACAATTACATATCATTCCAAATGTTTTGATCAATCAATAAATTTGGAATGAATTGGACTAGTAGTCAATGATTATTCTAATTTGTGTATACAATTTATAAATCAATAAATCAATTGATGTAAATATGAGATATTAACCATCGGTGAACTATGTATTTGTCCCCTTAACATAAACTTGATACAAAATGTCGTGATTGTTTCAGGTTATTTAGTGATATCTAATCGAAATATTGATAACAAAATAATCCAAAACCATTACCAATTAAATTAAAAGTCCTACGCGTTGCACAAGTGACTAGTTATCTGAACTTCATAACTAATTGTAATATGCATTGAAGTTTGAATAGAAAGATACTAAGTTCGAATCAGGGAGAGCATATATATATATAAGTATATCTAAATTCATTTAGTATTGTTCGTTTGAATCTTCCCATCGATGTGTTAGGACCGCAACTGGTCAGTCTCTTATTGGCCATATTTACATAATGTGCGTATTGCCTTGACAAATGAATTTAAACTTCACCCCATAGCACAAGCAATTGGCTATCAAGACTCAGTGGCCGAGTGGATAACACGATGGTGTTTGAAGCGAAAGGTACTGGGATCGAGTCCCAGAGTGAACATCAACTCTGAGATGCAGGTACATCCAACTGACGAGGGCTGATTAGGATGAAACGTGCATCATGGATTCCACTGCTAGCCACTATCCACCTTTGCTTACAATAAGTATATCTAGTTGATGAGTCACGAATATGACCAAAGAAGAGTTTAAGATTCTAATTCTAGTCACATTCTATCTATTTCATACATCAAGTAATTTCTAAATAGCTTTTATGAATAGCGAAATTCACAATATTTAGTCGTATAGGTAAAGTTTCTCGATTTGAATGCATTGAGAAGAATATTTAGTGAGCAATGCATACAATTAACTATTTCATCTATCCAGTATATATCTGTTAAACAATATTTCATTCATTTTATTTATTATTTAGATATATCATAACATCAATGATAAAAGGATTGACGTATATTATTGTACAGCCTATTTGTTAGTCTTATGTTGTTCAATCAACTATTAAGCGAGAATTGGATTGAAATATGACGTGTTGTTTATTTTTCATTACGATGATATGACTCTTATTCTTCTATTTATTATCTTAGTTTGTCAGTGTTTATTTTCTATTCATTCAAAGGAAACTATGCTTGACACATTCCAGGTAAGCCATTCAACGATGGAGGAACGATTGTTTGAGTAAAAAATGCCGTAAACGTTTGACGTATTTCATTCACATTGTATTTAATCAATTCACCTAAGCCTAATATTGTTTGTCAGTGAAAAATGTGCACTTTCATTAACTGCTAATTGTATTTGCATGTGAAATAGTTTTTATTTTGATACACAACTAATGTAGTGAGAGTAATTTGTGAGTTAGTCAATCAGAATCGACTGAACGAGTTCAAGGTCATGGGACATATTTGAATGCAAAATGAACAAGAACGATCACCATACGGCTGAATTCAAAAAGCTTTTATATTTTAGCGTCTATGAGAAATGGGATTAGTAAGAAAATTTATTATTTGTGGTGGCAAAACTTGAAATAACTGCCGGACAATGTACAGATTATTGAGCTGATATAGTATTCTAAAGCAATGAATTTCGGAAAAATATTCAGCAAGAACGGTACAATTTCAGTTTGTTCTAGATTAATACAGAGAAATAAGAGTGGTGAATTCGAATCTAACTTTTTGAGGTGTAGAGAGTATAATAAGAGAATGATGGAACAGTCATCAGAAAAAGAATGCCGAAAAGAGAAGAGAAAGTCAAAGAAGATCAGATAAGTAGAAGTTCCACGACTCTTCGATACTTGAAATGAAACATTACAGAATGAACGTTTCCGAAGTCTAAGAAGTCATAATTTAATAACATCGGTACTGGTTACAAACGAGTACCTTCGACCAGACACCTTTATATACACCTGTAGTAAACAGAACACTAGTTGGGACAATCGATTGTATTTCAGCACAAATTACTGACTATATCACTATATTCTGATAACCATACAATGAACAGTTAATTTGCAAACTATTAATCAATTGTCTCAATCTTAATTGTTCCTTCTACAAATATCAGTCTGTCTTCTCTGATTATTACTGTTCATGCATTTTCGTACCGATTGCACTTCATTCCTGTTCATTCCTTATCGATCTTCTGCAAAAATACATTCTATGTTTGACCATCACCATACACTACTTATATGGATATAAGTAGACCACACTACACACCGACGAGTGGAGTTCGTGCAGGTCTCTACCTGAACACTGCTACGATCACTGTGTCACGGTCAACGTAAGACCATCCGGGGATATATATTAAAGATAATTGTTATGGATTTTTATGCTATATTGTTGCTCTATATGGTATGTTTTGTGATTGGTAGAGATTTTTTAGGATCACCTAAGTTACGCTCAAATTTTACTCATAGATTATGTGATCACCGAAGATTACACACAGCATGTAGTATTTATGCAGATTTTTGGATTATATGATGTAAGTTATGGACTGATCTTATTCAGATGATTATTAAAAGCAAAGAAGTACTGAACAGTTGTTTCATCTCCACCCTCAATGGGGATCGGACCTGGGACCAAACGTTTATCGACAATTCGTCTTTCCGTGAAATTTAGTACATTTAAGTTGAATTTTGAATTTTAAAAAGGGATCTTATATAAACTACAGTATTGTATGACCACTTTCTATTATAATCTACCAATGAGTAAGTAGACAAATTAACCAAATTAGCCAATTGATTATACATGCAATCGCTATTACCATTATATTCTGTTAACTTGAAAATAAAGACATTAGTTAATTCTTTCGTTACATAAGGAGGTTTTTTAAATCAAATAAGCTTTCAACATTATAAAGTGATGGATAAATAACTTACCAACATTTTTCTCTTCTAACAAGTAAGTCAACATTCTAATTAATGGTAATAAAACAGTGAAGTGTTTCTAAAAATACCAAAAAAACAATTTACGTATATCACTAATTAAAAGTATAAATAGTTTCTGAATTAAACACATAAATTATTCATAGGAAAAATTTCATTGAAACTTAATTATCAACCTCAATTCATTTATAATTATGGTCTTAATGTACAATTGTATCGTCAGTTAGGCAAGACAGTGAGCTGAAATTTCATTCAGAAAGGGTTTTGTGGAGATTTCAGTATTTTCATGGTTAAAATCATTAGTCAATTGAAGCTAGACCACCATGGAAAACCTGGAAGCAATGGACAGCGAAATCGTGAATGCGCACTGCTGAGGAGTCCCACAATAGGACGAAATCGCCTTCAAATGCTTCCAGATTTTCCATGGTTGTCTAGCTTAAAATGAATCATGATTTCAACTATGAAAAATTTCATTGTAGGTTATTTTATATTCAAATTTGAAAATAAATTCAAATAATTATGATCAACAATCTAAAACTATCTAACGACAATAGTTCAAGTATTCTATTACTAGTGTATCAATGTTTATCAGATCTGAAATGACTTGTTGACAGTTAAACAACTTACATATTATCGAGATCATGAACCGATTTAAGTTAGAAAACCATTTAAAACGTTGAAGGACTAGACAGCTAACTGATTATAGTATGAAACTTATCAGAAGTGTGTATTCACGGACCCACCACAGAGAATAGAATCCAGCACTTTCTATCTTGCTCGAAGACGTTTTACCTTGAGACCATCGGGCTGTGATCGAACACTGTACAAGTATAACTGGAGTGAATCCACGATATTCAGTGACCATCTTTTGTTTTCTGTGGGGCCGGTCTGCACACTCAACACGGTTAAATATGCAATTATGATACAAAATAATGAGTAAGTATGTTACCCGCTTTTTTTTACCCTTTTTGTTTTCTTTTCCAATCTTTTTAATATAAATATTTAGATTAATCTTGAAAAAAGTGATAATACTATACAAACATTCAAGAATACAAGTCAAAAATGTAAAGTGTGCTCTAGTTTAAAGAAGGCATCAATGAATAATGGTAAATACACAAATTTCAATGATTCTTTTATTTATACTTGTGTTTAATCGTTTTCGCATGATAATGGGATTGATATTTTGTCTAATTTTTCATGTAAAAAGACCTATTCGGTACGTATCTTACTTTCACTAACGCAGTAAAGTGATATGAACTTTCTCTTGATCATACACAATCTAACAAACTATTCGAATGGTCATTTTTTTAAATATCCGTATAAGTACAAGCTGATGAAGATTTTATAAATATTTAAGAATCACTAAAATAAAGCACTAAACGGTAAATTCTACCCGTTGAATGTTGATTATTTGATAAATAAATTGGTTTATTTGTACTAAAATAAATCAAATGTTAGGCAAATTTGGAAATGAGAGTACGTCTAAGACTTGAGAACAAATCTTTCGAATATAAAGAATTGATCGACCACTTACGTGATGAGTCCTTCCTTTTACATGTAAAATATTGCAACACTCAGAAGTCATTAAAATGAAGCTATCAATGTTTTAATACCTAACTATACCACTGTATTTGAGTAATATAAAGTTCATCACAATCTAATGACTTAGAATGTGCTTTGTTGAATAATCAAAAAATAGTGGGAAATCTGTAGAATACACTTAATGTGCAGATTAAAACCTTATCGAAATATTCAAAACCTGTCACCGATCTTAAATGTTTTGTGAAATTTTTATCAAGTTTAAATTGCAGGTAATAGATAACGAGAAATTATTTAGTTGTTCAACACTAATCGTTAAATAGTGTGTAAGTTGAGTAGAAATATGATATAATAGCCTAATCATAGATTACCCAAATGATAAGTACAATTAGTTCACTGAGAGATGGTGTTTATAACTAACTGACATATGTATACATCATTCGTATATATGCAGTACACTTGTATCAGAGCAGTTTGGTCAATAAACTTTTATTCACACTTTCAATCTTTTCAATTGAGTAGCCTGTTTTTCTGGTGTCATAAATGATTACGTATCGGTATCAACTCTCATACAACGTCAATCACAACAAAATCATCAGATTTTATCATCCAACTACTATTGGAATTGTAAATATTATAACAAGCCTTATCCGCAGCCTTTAAACACGTCGTGATTGACAAAACTGTAAATTCAGATAACAGTTACCACTCATCAATTAATACTAAATTAAATGTTTTCCATTGTTTTGTGATCACACAAAATTATAGGACTTCCGTCTAACCAAAAGCTAAAAACGGACAGTAATCCAAAAAAATAATGAAACAGCTGTCCATTGCTTCCCAGTTCTCAGTGATGATTCAAATAACATCAGTTACTGGTTCAGTCTATAGGAATTTGACAGTCTCAAAAAACCACCTTCAGTGATAATTATCATGTGATCAGTAGTGATTATAGTCTTCATGAAATACTTACAGTTCATTCTAGTCAGAAGTCATAACAAGTTGATTTCAATCATGTTGGGTGTGTGGAGGCCACCTATCAAAGACAATGTGAGATGGTCACACAATATGAGGAGATGAGTGATATTAGAAATGCATAGCATTGAATTTTGGTTTTATTGATTTATTTGTTTAACATTGTCTTATGAGATTGAGTGTCCTGCATTTAGTCCGTTGTAGTGGGGTCGTGCACTGTTGGAGAGCCATGTATTAGTACGAAACAACTTTTCAGTGACTTCTGATTTCGATGGTGGGACAGTTAAGAATAGTTCGTAGCTATAATAATGGAAATTCTCCACCATCCATTAAATTCCCAAAGTGATAAAAATAAAATGATCAAAACTTGAAATATTCTATTTAGATGAATAAAATTATCGGATTATTTTTCTATTTTATATAGTCAAAATCATGAGTCAATTGAAGCTAGACCATATTGGGAAACCTGGAAGCACTGGATGGCCGTTTCGTCTTATTATAGGACTCCTCAGCAGTGCGCATCTACGATCCCACCTCGTAAGATTCGAACCCAGAACCAATCAGTCTAGCGCGCGAGCGCTTAACCAATAAAATAGTCCCACAATAAGACGAATCAACCGTCCAGTGCTTCCAGGCTTTCCATGGTGGTCTAGCTTCAATTAACTCATGATTTCAACTATATAAAAATACTAAAATCTCCATAAAATCCCCTTCTAATATTTTTCTATTCGCCTTGAAACTATTCTATACTATGTACTTCAATAGTTATATGAATAAATTGGTTAAATTACTACTTCTTCCTCAATGTTTCTATGCTTTGCATAAAACTTAATAACCAAATTAGAAAGTAACCATTAATATAAACTGTCTTTCAAATCATACTAAGTAAATTAACTGGTAAGTAAATCACTTTTTATAACTACTTAATTCATTTACATTTTCATATATAGACATATGGGTATTATTGTCTCAAAAAGAAATGAAACGATTAATGGTAATATCATGTATCTTATTTTAAAAACTATATCTATCAGGTATTGAGATGACTACAATCAAAGACAAGTTAAAAACTTTATCCATCATGGATATGTTCCGCCGACAACAATCATTACCCAATATACATAGCGGTACATCTTCATTACAAACAACTAACACAAGAAATGATGATAATGCACCTTTATATTCAATAACATTTAAAGAAGCTGATTGTTACTTATATAATCCAAGTATGCATCTTTATGAAATATTCAATGTACAATTTTCATTTCGTACATCACAAGAAGATGGTTTATTATTGTTTAATTCAAATAAACAAGGAATTGATTTTATAATGTTTGAATTAATTAAAAGTTATTTACATTTTGCATTTGATATGGGTAGTGGTTCTCAACATTATGCTTTGACAATGTATAAAGTTACTGATTCTAGATGGCATCATGTGGAATTAAGTAGGTAAGTTGTGAAACTATTTTTTTTAAAAGAAGTTTTAATATTCAGGAAACTTTGGAGGCAAAATTCATTTATGGGAAATAGTGTTAAGTTGACTAAAATAGATCTTCATTGTTGAAAGCATGAGTCAATTGAAGTAAGAACACCAAGGAAAACCCGGAAGCACTAATCGGCCGTTTCATCTCATTGTAGTAATCCTCAGCAGTGCGCATTTATGACCTCGCCTCACGAGATTTGAACCGAGGACCTACCAGTCGCGCGCCAGAGCACTTAACCGTCCAATGCTTCCACGTTTTCCTTGGTGGTTTAGCTTGAGTTGACTCATGCTTTCAACAGTGAAAATACTGAAATCTCCACAAAACCCCTTCTGATAATAAAATAGATTTATAATTTTCTTCTAGGAAATGTGTAACATTAATTTGATAAACCACTTTAAGGGCCCACCTGGATGATTGTGAAAAAATGTCGGCTTCGTGAATTGATTATAGAAAGAAGATAATGATATACATGAGTTCGCTTTCTTACTATTATTCAATCTTAAACTCTACGCGACTTCTTCATTGGAAAAGTTAAGTGGTTAATTTGAAAGGGCTTTAAAGATATTACCCGATTTTTCGGCATTTTAAATCCCTCAGAAAACTATCGTCTTCCTGATAGGCTCATTATTTCAATTTTCAAATAATAAGAAAGACTTCCGATAATCTTTAGAAATGTAGAAATTACGAACAAGGTACTCATCAGATTCTTTATCAGTGAAGCACTTTAAGGACTCTTATTTAGTGATAAATGAATAAGTGTGAAACTAGATTACAGCATATTACTTGTTGACATCTAATTAACGTCAGTCATTATCCATGAGATAAGCGTAATGTTTAAAGGTTGAATTGAATGAAACTAAAGTTTAAGTGAATCGAAGACATCTAGAACGATTAGGACTTTAAGAAACTGAGGGTGAAGAAGATTTACACACATAAAGTGTTACCAATGAGCAACGTAGAAAATAATCATTTTTCAAATTGTTGAAACAATTCAAATAAATCAACTTAGACATGTAAAAACATTGATAACATTTAGAGAGTAAACTAAATTTGATAAGTAAAACAATGTGATAAATTTGTGGTATACATTTGAGTATAGCTGATAGGATCTACCAGATTTGGTATGTCTTGAGTGAACGAATATATAATGTAGCAAACTAATGACACAATGTTTTAGCAAAATATGAAAATCCTACACTAAATACATTTGTACATCCCCTTTGAACTGTTCTTTTACATACTCCATTATTCCTCTAATTCTGTTGTAATTTTGATTGCTCTCCGATTTCCTACCTGTCCTCTTCATTTCAATCTTTTCCTGCCAAGCATTTCAGTTCCGAGTGGTGCTATATACTACTTATATCTGTCCGAATAAGTAGCATACACATCAGTTAACTGAACCATCCTATTTATACTGCTTACATCTCTAGAGTAAAATCAACTTCGTAGTTGAGACAGATGGAATTGATAGTATTGGGTTTTTTGACCTATGAAGTACAGCTCTTGCTTTTACTGTCTTAATGCGTATGTGATTACTTCCATTATTTTGTCCAATCAATTCATATTATGCTGAACAAAACACGTATCTGGATTAACTGGATAACCATTTAAAACCTAGAAGAACTAGAAAGATATTATAAAACTTTGTATACAAAGTTGATAGGATTCAATATCCACTAAGAGGGACCTGACATACATGACATTGGTTACCACCCAGTGACTAATCAATTGTAAATACATCTCAGTCTTATAGGAGGTAAGTCGTGGCCCGGACAGCTCAATAGTAACGTCTCTGACTACGAAACTGGATGACACGGGATCGAATCCGTCAGGTGACGTCATTCCCCTCAAGGTTATAGGTGCTGACCGATGCGAAGTAGCACGAAATCTAGGTTCAGGGTTTCCTGTTGAGTACCTCCAACCACCATCTTATCTCAACATAATGCACGCAGTGTCGGTTCACCTAGACTGATGGCCAAATTGTAAATTGGTCGATAGGCTTCAATCTGCACTAAGAAGGACTTGATATACATGACATTGATCACAACCCAGTGATCAAACAATTGTAAACATAAAGTTTGTATCATATGACCCATGATTTCTAAACGATGGTGATAAACGGTAGGAAACCCTTTTCGCGTTTTAATCGTAAAATAAAATGATTGAATCAATCTGAAATAATAAATATTAACTAGAAGGTGATATAAAAACATGTTGCACAAGCAAGTGGCTATCAGAACTTAATAGCTGAGTGGATAACGCGATAGCGTGTGAAACGAAAAGTACTGGGTTAGAGTCTCAGAGTGAACATCAACTCTGAGATGCAGGTACATCCAGCTGACGAGTGCCGAATAGGATGAGACGCGCGTCCTGTATTCCACTGCTAGCCACTATCCATTTTTGCTTACAAAGTAAATATGCTTGTGAAATAAAGCTATATCGAGGCAATACGCACAGTATGCACATATACCAATTAGGGACTGACCAGTTGCAGTCCTAAACATCAATGGGAATATTCAAACAAACAATATTAAGTGAATTTAAAACATGTTTTTTTTTTTAAAAAAACCATAGGGAGAAATCACCCAATAAAAATTATCTGACTAGTTTATTATATTCCTTTGAACAATTGATGTAGTTTTGTGACTCAATTCACCTTCACATCTCTTCTGTATTATGTAATAAACGTTTTCAACAGTATAAATCTCTTTAAATAAATAAACACTTGATATTATGCCCGAGGATTTATCGACATTGTACATTTTTATTAGAATAGATTTAGAAAACAATACTTTACTATTATACATTGATCGATACACATTCAATGAACAATCTATAAAGATCCCTGTTATTAGTGGTGATATTTCAAGAAATTTCAATTTGAATGATCCACTTTTTATTGGAGGTATTTCACAATACACTTTCTTGAAATGGAGAGAAAAATTAAATTCATATCATGGATTTCAGGTAATCAGCTGTTTATAACTTTTCAGTGAACAATGAGATCATGTATAAATCATGTGCAAACATATAACTAGACAACTTTTTTCCCAGTCTTAACATTAATTATCGTAATTTCCAATTACTTGAATATCTTGGAAGAGTAGTCTTGAGATGACTTTTCTGCTATTATGGGAGATAGTGGATAGTGAACGGACAGAACAACTGGTTATCAGATTTTCAATAGAAACAACGGACATCGAGGTGGCAGCTAGAGACTCTGACTTTTGGAAACATCATTTAGATAAAATGGTTTGCTGCACTTAGGTATCGGACCTGTAGTTTAACATTCAGTTCCTAAATGGATAATTGAAATTTTCTCAATGAATGATGGGCAAATTATTTACCAATGTTGTAGATACTTTTGGTTAATCCCACTCATCTTCTCATATTGTATGACCATCTCACAGTGTCTTTCATAGGTGACCTCCACACACCCAACATGACTGAACTCAACTTGTCATGAGTTCTGACCAGAATGAACTGTATGTATTTCATTGAGACTTTATTCACTAATGATCACATGATAAATCTCAGTGTAGGTGATTTTGTTGAGGTTATAGAATTTTAATAGATTGCATGGGTAAGTGATGTTCTTTAAATCATCACTGAGAACTAGGAAGCGATGGACAATTTTTTCGATCTTGTGTAGAACTCTTCAACAAAGCTCATATTTGAATTCACCACCAAGGTGATTTCATATTCATTAAAATTATGAAACCTCCCTTTCATTCTTGTAGGAAAAAACCTTGGACATATTCGTCCCTTATATCTTGCTCCACAAGAGCATGTGAACTGATGGATGAACAATCGAGAATTCATATTCGTTTTGAACACAGAAAATCAGTTTTTAATAGTGAAGTTTTGTCTCAGCTTTGCCTCATAGAATGTTCCCTTAACAGCTATCGACATCCAATTTTTATTTGTACAGTGTGTTTGACCACCTTTAAATCCTAAATGCGCATTAAGTTATATTTTTAGAAAATGCAATCTCTTAATTACTTGGTCAGACGTTTTCATGTCCTGCTTGGATAACTGTTTTCAGCCACTCATTTTACCAAATAAATCGAATTATCTTTCAATGAATTCAGTATTAATACAGTATTCGGTAACCTAAAAAGTATAAGCTTTCACTTTTTGTTTACTGTAATCTTATGGTTGTTTTCAGTAGATGCACCATTAAAGAAACCCATCAGTCACTCTTGACAGAAACGTATTTTCAACTAGACAAATTTATTTTAAACCTAGTTAGAACATTCAGAATTCATAGTCTGTTAGTTATCTCTTTATTTTGCTTATTGGTTTTTTTGAAATCCTAGGGATGTTTCGGTAACTTCTCTATAAATGGTTTGCCTGCTTACAATTTGTTAGATAGAGCTAAACAAAAGTATACTTTAAACTGGACTGTTCCAGTGTGCTATGATCAAATTATTCCAGGTTGTTTTGAACGTCCAAGTTATGCTCTAAATTGTAAGGAAATTCAAAGATATCCTAAACATCATACTATGAAAAGAGATGAAAGGAAAGAAAATTTAAACAGTCGACGGTCGAAACCATATTGTTTAAATGATGGTTTGTGTTTACACTCTTGGAATACGAATAAATGTGCTTGTGAGTTAACATCATTCGAAGGAGTTCGATGTACAAGAGGTAAGTAATGTTAAGATATTTGAAATTCAATTGTATAAATACTTAATTACTTTTTTAATGCAAAGTTGAATCATGGTTATCAGTAGAGTCGAGGACAGGTGTTTTGTCTTGTTTCGGACTCGTTTGCCGGATGATGCTCGCACCTGGACTTGAATCCAGTACCTACCGATTCAGGTGGCTCTTCATGTTATCCATTTAATCAATGAGTCAGTAACATAAGATGCATACTTTCGTATAGAGAGATTGCACTCCATAACGTCAACAGGAAGATTCAAGCAATGAAAAGTTTATGAATTCTATTTAGCACTGTCATTTTTTGACAACGGTAAACAATTTTACAAATTCTTCAATAAGGTTATTATGTTTCATTGAAAGTTTTTCTTCATCTTTACGCCTTAATGTTTTAGGTCATGCAGTACATTCATAATCTTTGTCATCATGCCTCTACACTAATGTATGTATAATATACAATAATAGTTCACTTAAAGACATAATTAGCCATCTAACATCTCATTGTTGCTATAGAGATGGTACTTTCATGGTATTAAAAAAAGAACATCAAAAGAAGAATATACTTAATATATTTAATAACATCCATCCGCCAATTACTTTTGCACTAGAGGAAGAAGAGAATGATGGTATATCGTTCCTAGATGTCCAACTAACTAGAAGATTAGATGGAACATTAAAAAGAGGGTTACATAGAAAGTCTACAGTTGGACAATACACTCATTTCTATAGTGCAGTACCAATCCAATACAAAAGAAACTTGATAAAGATCCTGACTCATCGTGTTAGAATGATTTGCTCGGATGACCTTATTTTAGATGAATTGGTTAATATTCGCAACTTGCTTAGTAGGAATGGATACCCAATGAAATTCATCGACAAACACATGAAGGAGACAGTGAGAAGGACAAGAGTACCTACCGTTACGAAGAAGGTATTGTTCTTAATATTACAATTCCTAAATGATGCCACGGAAGAAATCATGACACAGAGGTTCAGAAATGTAGTACAGAAAACATTTAATGCAGCTACATTGAGTACCACCTTCTAGAGCCGCCTGACATTAAAAATGGTTAATACAGACAGATTGCCTGAATTCTCCACATCTATGTTTGCTGATCAACTCAACTCCTCCTGTGGAGCCAGTTATAATATGGAGCTTACAATTCGGTAAGTTCGTCAACGAATAACAGAACACCATCGGTCATGGTTGAGCAAAGGAGAGATAAAAGTGATTAACAGTTATATTCTTTCTCACTTGATGGACACAGGTTATCAAGTTAAAATGAATAAAGCTTTTATGGTTATCTACCATATTCCATCGAATTTGCTGCATTGTTGACGAGTTCGTCTTTTGCACATTGCTGAAGTTATCGAAATCCCTTGACTATCGGTATAGGGGAGTTTCTGGCAAAACTTTGGTAAACAATTTCCATATTCCTTCCATTTATTTATTATTGTATTTTACTTATTCTCAACATTCTTCTCTTGATTTTTACATAAAAACTATATTACTGACCATTCATCAAAATATTTTGTTAGTTCTTTCTTCTGTTTTTATATATTATGCAACGTAGCAACAGCTTGATTTTCGAATAATTACTATGATTATTATTAATCCTCTTCTTGATCTTAAGTGACTGTCTAAGTAAGAGAAGTCCTTAAGTAGACCATAAAATAGGCCTTAGGAATAGGAATTTATTTCCATCTAATAATTATTGTAAAAGCTGAGGAACTACTAATTACTAGTGATAAGTATAGATATAATCAGTAATACTATGGAAAAAGAAATGTTTGAAAGTGTTATACAATAATAATAAAAAATAACAAATATTGATTGAACAGATGAGTTAATAGAAATTTTTTAGCGAACACATTGGTGATTTCCAATAACCGTTCACTAGTGCAATAACCTGTTTCCATATGGGATCTGTTGCACTAATCATAAAGATTCATCTCACCGAAGGTGATTACATTTAATGATTATTACTTGTATACTTCTATGACATTATTTTATCAGCCGGTACAACTTTCCTATATGGTTTCAATCAAAATCAAATGATCAATATCACTGTTAATAACTGGACTTTGACAACAATCAGTGAAACTATAGGTTACTTACGTTTAATATATAAAGATCATCTAAGAAATACAAGACAAGATGAATTTATACTTGGTATTCAAATGCTTCCAATGAAAATTGACAGTAAATCAAGTCATTCTATTTCCACCATAGCAACTTTATTATTTATTACAAACCTAAAACAAACAGGTGACTTTATACATTTATTTTTAGTAAGTACACTTTTTATACTATACTTAGTATCTTATTATGTTAATTAGATTGAATAATTTAACAGAATGTCAAAATGAATATCCACTTTTGTTGTCTGTAAACATAAATAGAACATAGTTGAAAGCATGCGTCAATTGAAGCTAGATCACCAAGAAAAACCTGGAAGCGCTGGACGGCCGTTTCGTCCCATTGTGGGACACCTCAGCAGTGTGCATCTACGATCCCGCCCGCGAGATTCGAACTCAGGACCTACCAGTCTAGCGCCAGAGTGCTCAACCGACAGACTACTGAGCCGGCATTTGATGGTGTTTTTTTCAACTATGAAAATATGGAAATCTCCACGAAACCCCTTCTGATAATAAATGTAACACTTATGATCAGAAAGGGTTTTGTGGAGATTTCTGTATTTTCATAGTTTATATCATGAGTTAGTTGAAGCTAGATTACCATGGGAAATCTGGAAGCACTGGACGGCCGTTTCGTCCTAATGTGGGACTCTTATGGAGGTGTTTGAGATTCTATAATTGTGAATGACTCAATTGAATTCAAAAGTCGCAAACTGATCTTAAAATGATTGATTTTGCTTCATTGAAGACTTGATAAAGATCTATTTATTTCTTCAGACTCATTATTATATGCTTCTCTTGTCCACCGCCAATTTAACTGCACAAAATACATTATAAATACGCTTCCACCTTGATGAATGCTGTGAGTATATTTCTTCATATGAATAACAAGTTGATCTATATCTAAAAAAGATATTCCAATCACGATCTTTGTCATAATTTCATTACCTTAGCAGAAACTGTTTCAACTACCACTAGTATCCTAAATCATACGCCTCGACAGCTAAGGTTAATCTTGAGTTGAGTTTGAGGATGGTCCCAACACTTATTGAAACTTATCGTCTTCATCTAAATTAAGCCTTGAGTTTTAATTAGAGATAATAGTAGACAAATTTTAATTGTAATATTTGAAGCACCAAATTTCTCTACCTCAAACACTTGTTAGCTTATCAACATGAATTATCAGATTGCAACGAACCTCAAATATGAAATCGTACTTTATACACGACCATATCATAATTGCCAGAGAGCCAGAGAAACAGTGCACAGTGAATTAATAATAATTAAGGAATAATAAATCATATAACAATCGTTAGTAGGCCCCACATTATAGCCGAATATAACATTTTACACTATAAAACTGACGTATTTCAATAGTCACTGAACATTAATTCAATCATACATAGATCGACTAACCTTTTAAGTCATATACTTTCTTCAAGTTAGTAAGTTGTATGGGTTAAATATTTGTGAAAGATATTTACATATATTTAGTATTCATTATTAAGATGTTACAACAACAACAACTTAAATTAATTTATGCTCAAAGGCTAATTCAAGCATAAATAAACAGAAGTATAGTAAATTGTAGACACTTATATAATATTTCATTAAACTGTCTATCATCTTCATTAACAATCATTGTAGACATAACTGGCAATATGTTTAAAAAATACTCCAATTAAAACTAGCGTACAGCGATTTTCAAATTATTGTTTTCAATAAAACTTAATGCAGCATAGTTAGCAGTTTACTCAGTATTCTTTGGGACAGAAAATACAAAAATGATGTAACTGGTAATTAATGTAGGTTTACTATTCCAAGAACCAGACAATATTATTAAGGATGCAAATATGCCAATATGAGACTGATCAAGTACAATTTTAAACATCACTGGGAACATTCAAACAACCAATACATAATGAATTTATTATGAATAATCCTCTAGATAATTGCCGTTATTGGTTTATAACATGACAATTAACAGCTTCATAGTGTAGAGTTGCATGGTTATACCACTGCTGTATTACAAACAACAAGGATAATAGAAATATCCCATAGTCTATGATTTTCATTTGTTCATTAGATATTCAGAAGGGGATTTTGTGGAGATTTCAGTATTTTCATAGTTGAAACCATAAGTCAACTGAAGCTAGACAACCATGGAAAACTTGGAAGCACTGGATGGCGGCTCAGTGGTCTATCGGTTAAGTGCTCTGGCGCGAGACTGGTAGGTCCTGGGTTCGAATCTCGTGAGGCGGTATCGTGGATGCGCACTGCTGAGGAGTCCCATAATAGGACGAAACGGTCGTCCAGTGCTTCCAGGTTTTCCATGATGGTCTACCTTTAATTGACTCATGGTTTGAACAATGAATACATTAAATAATATTGAATAGAACTAATCATCACAAACTATTTGACTAAACATGTTTCTGTTTTTTAAAAAGATATTTTGAAAGGAATTAAAATTCACTGGAATCATTTAATTGTGTTTTAGGAATCAAATAAATTAAAACTTAATTATGACATGGGTGGAGGTATCATTCATATTATTGGTCCTAATTTATCAGTGAATGATGGATTTTACCACAGAATACGTGGTTATCGAGTGGATCATCATGTTATTCTAGAAGTGGACAACATAAGACAATTGTATGAAGTGAATAGTAAGCAAAAAGTGAATTCATTTGAGATAAATTAGATTGTGATAGAATTTTTATAGATTTTAAATGTAAAATAAATGTTATAAAAAATAAATCAACTCATTCAGTAAGATTAATTAGATCAGCAGTGTATGAGTTTCAGAGTTAATTTATTATATATATATACATATATATATTAGTATAAGATTGTTGAGATTGTTGAGATTTTATTGAAATCATTGATCGATCAGTGTTAAACGACCATTGAAAAGGTGGAGGAACTGGACAGCTGTTTCGTCCAATTACGGGACTTCTCGACAGTGCGCGTCCGCGATCCCGCACGCGGCATTCAAATCCAGAACCTTCGGTCTTTAGCGAGGCCGTCTAGTACTTCCAGGTTTTCAATAGTCTAACATTGTTCGATTCATGACCTTCATATATATATAGTTTGGTGCAGTCTAATTACTAATCAACTTATTGAACGGTAAACTGTCAGATTTTCAAAATGACTAAACAGCACCAGTTAAGATCTCTTGTTAGAATATCTAGAACACAATCAAAATCTAGTTAATGGTAAGAGTCTCATAATGAAACAAAATGACTATGCTATTTTAAGAAATGTTAATCCTTGACAGTAAAATTCCAGAGATAAAATTAGTTTCCACGAAAGCCTGTCAAACGTAGCATCAGTAATAATAATAGTAAAATATGAAGGTTAATATATGACATACTTTTTCTGCACACAGGCTCCAGGCAACTGGAACGTCAGTTACTTTCGGTCCAAGATCTCAACATATTGGAATGGATTCTGTGAGAAATTTTGAAATTAGTATCATATTAAGTATAAGTCTAGTTAATCACATGTTCTAAGTTCCAGTTGTCCTCATCTTTTACTTTGGTAATCCTACTGCATGAAGGGTTGTTAATGACTTTTTAGTCTATCCCTGCAAACCACAAACTACTACAACATTTCAAATCGAAGAATAGAGAAAAAAGCATGAGATATGAGTAAAGCCTTTACCCTATGGTTAATTATTTGCAGAAAACCGAGTGCATATATGGGGATGTAAGCGACCTTGTTCTTCCACAGACTTGTGGAACCACTCTAAATATTATAATAACATAAATGGTTATCCAGTCAAAAAATGAAACAATTCTTTATTGATCTAAGTATTTCTGAAAATCTTCTACTCGATGCTGATTAGGTAAAACATTTCCAGCCTGTTTCTGTGGTTTTAAAGACTTTGTTGAGAGAGATTTTTGAACTCCTGACATACGTATTCGACATTTTTAGGCAAGTAAATTTGTTGTCAAAATGCTTTTGCGAAAATAATTCACTGACGCTAGACATAATTAGTAATGTTGTGAACAGAACACTGGTTGGGGACAATCGAATGTATTCAAGCAAACATTACAGACTATCTCAGTAAATTCTGATTACCAAACAATGAACAGTCATTATGCAAATTAACAACCAATTGTTTCAATCTTCACTGTTTCTTCTCTTATTCCATTGCTCATGCATTTTCCAAACGATTGTGCAATATTTCAGTTCTTTCCTCATCGGTCTTCTGCCAAAATACATTCTATGTCTGACCCACACCATATACTACTTATGTGAATATAAGTAGACCACACCACAGTAATATTTCAAAATCGTGAGTTATTCACTTAATCACTTCACTCGCAAACGATTAATGAGAACTAAACAAATGAACCTCTGTATGGATACTGTATTCTAATATTATTCATTTATATACTCACATAGTTTTGCATAACTTTCATGACTTATATCGCCTAGTATATAAATCATTACTATGTCTTGAAGATGTATTTGTAAGTGAAGTTCGTTCTTCCTGTGGCTAACCTACAGAAGATTAGTGGTTGTTTTTGAATTGAAGTTTATAGCTGATATATTTAGTTGATATATTGTAGAATTTTAGCTGTGCTTACAGAATGATATGGAGTTTAACATACGATTGAAACTACTTTAAATTTTCTAGGCTCTAACGATTAAACCTGTAAATCTTAAGAATTATTCAACGGAAGATTTCGAATTTTTATTTGATAAAAGAGTCATCGATATAGGGTTGTAGAGAATGTTGAGTTTTGATTGAGATCATGAATGGATCAATGTTAGATCGTCATTGACAACCTGAAAGCACTGCACGGCCGTTTCATCCTGGTATGGGACTTCTCAGCAGCGCAAATCCACGATCCTGCACGTGGGATTTGAACCCAGGACCTCAAGTTTTGCGCGCGAACGCTTAAGCTCTAGACCGTCCTCTATTGTCATTGGTGAGTAACTGCCTCACATACAACACAGTTGAACTTTACCGGTGACGAATTCTCACTAAAACTCCAGGAAATCCATCTTGAAGCTAATCACTAGTGAGCACATGATAATTATCAGAATATGATTGTGGAGGTTGTTGAGTTTCACAAATTGTTGAAGTTTTACCTCAACAAATAATGCTCCCTTTATTTGTTACTGATGTTTATGTGTGTATACATCCATCATGTGTATGTTGTTTGAAATCAATCGATTTTGTAGGGACGTATGGTAGAAGCTTCAATAATCAAGAGGTAATTTGGATTGGACACGCACCAATACTGAACAAAACTGATATGTTTCATGGATATATGACAGGTAGGTATTACGTTATGTGTAATAATTTATGAAAACAAACTTTGGTCTCCTTTTTTATATTCTTAAATAAATAGTTATAAAGTCCACTCATCAACACTTTCGAAATCGATTTTTCCTATCTCCGTATTTCTTTTTATTTATGAGGCTTTTAGTGACTGATGAGATGAGATTTAGATTGTCCATTTCAATGAGTGAAGTGTAACTTGATAGATGAATGTCATTGTATGAAATTCTCACAAGATTGTATTATGGACTTAAGCCTTCAAATAAATGGAAAACAGACAATACTTCTAACCAGATGAATAGATTCACGTAACGTAAATTTATACAAAATACCAACATAGAACAAAGCTGGTGACATATCATACATGATCGAAAGAAGTTAGCTTGTTGAACACAAATTCTACAATTACTTAAGACATGACTGATAAGCTTGATCTTTGGACATCGTACCATAAATTCGACAAGACACAGGAATCACTGAAGGCTTCGAGTCCCTTATTATAGTGAGAGTGTACGTTTAAAAATTGCTCAATCAAGTCAATTTTTCACAATGAACGATTGTTCAACAAGAAGAAATTAAAATATTATCATTCAAATGCTTGTGATTCGAGGCAGTATCGAGGCCATTAGCCTAGGATGCGCGCATGCCAATAAGTGATTAACCAATTACAGTCCTAAACCAATACAAAATGAATTTAAAATTCACTACAATACACAAGTTAGTGACTATATGGACTCAGTTGATAAGTGGATGACGTGATGGAGTTTGAGGCGAACTATACCGGTTTAGAGTTCCTAAGTGGACATCAACTCCGAGATGCTTGTAAATCCAGCTAACTAGTCTCAAACAGGATACAACGCACTTACTGGATTCCACTTGTGGCCACTATCCATCTCTGCCTATAATGTTTGTGATATGAGGCAGTATCGAGACAATCCGTACAGGATGCGCGAATGCCAACAAGAGATTGATCGATTAAAACCCTAAACATCAATGGGAACATTCGAACAACCAATTCAGAGTGAATTCTAATTAATATAGTTTTCATTGAAACTGTTAAACGATTACTTTTTTCTCGAATCGATTTTGTTATATCTTGTCGAAATTTGTTTATTACTGCCATACTAATGTGGCTGTTGAATATTGCCTGAGAAATATTTTCTATTTCTTGTTCAGCAAAACAAAATTGAAATGGCTTGATTTAATGAACAGAGCTAGACTGTTAGATAAACACTTGTTTGTGAACAAACAAGCACTGATTAAAGTGACATCCAAAGTATTAATGAAATTTGCATCATTCTATGTTTGGTTGATAAATAAACTTTAATACATTGACCAAACAGTGCAGTAATCACTCCTAATGATGTCTGGTATAAAGAAAGTAGCATTAAATTCAGTGAGTAAATTTGCAACATCAAACTGATGACATAAAATTCACTGAGGATCCTTGAATATACATTTGTGTTTTTTATCACAATCTAAGATGATCTGCTCTAGGAATACTCGTTTATCGATTTGTTTCACAATGGCGGTCGAAGTTTGAAAGATTTCAATCTTTACTTTAATTTCATTAAGTAGTTTGATGAAATTCATTCCATCTTTGAATGATTTCACTTTGGATAGATCAACAGCAAACCTAGGACTTATTGATTTAACATGGTATAAGATATATCGACAGTTTTTTATTAGAGCTTTTAACCACCACAATAATAGTAAGGAACCAAGGAAGTGGTATAAAAACATAACAGTACTATAAATTTACAAGTGCTGATGTAAACAATAATGTTGAATGATTGACTAAAAGATTGAACGGTGGATGGAGTAATTGATATACGTAGGTATAGTTAAGCAAATTACATAATATTCAATTAGAGAGCTGGTAAGCGATAAGTCTGTTGCTTCATTGCTTGTCATTGGCTTTCCAAGTCTCTCCTTATAGCCTCCAGACTATTCCTATATTCAAACTGGGCAGTAGAGAAAGAGCACCAAATATGAGTGAAATCTTTGCTCCAAGTTTAACAAATGTTCTGGAAATATGGTTCATGTATAGGGTTTCAGATGACCTTCATCTTCAAGAGACTCCAGGAAACATACTAAACGTAGTAACAAACAACATGTGCCAATATTCAATGGTAATGTAAGACATTATTTATTTTTCCTTCACCTTACTACCTGTTTCTAAGACGCTTATATTCAATATCATTTGAAAGAAACATTGCTATCTTTTTCCTGTGGCTCTAGAGATTTTAATGAAAATCTATTTGACTTATCTTTGGTTTAAAATATAACGATGGGCAAAAAAGAAAGATGAATTTCAGAATTTTTAAAATGTATAGACTTAGCTTATGAATAAGGAAGTTGTTCTAGTTTTGAGGCATCGCATGTATTGTAGTTTAATCCCTACTCCAAAAGGGATTAAACTACAATACAAGCAATGTCTCAAAACTAGAATTCTTCGCAGCACCAGAGTCATCACTGAAAACTTCCGAAATAGGGAAGTTTTTCATTTCTGTAAAGATACAAAAGATAGGCACGTAAGTCATGCTGTTTATTCAATGGAATAATTTGGATTTCATTCAGCATTAGTATAGTGTCATGAGGATAAACTAAAATGATGAGAAAATCTTTATTCGTACTATTTACTTTTTATTAAAATGTCTGAATGGATATTTTCGCTTCACTTAACAATTGTCATTATTTCACAATAAAGGATTGATAGATATTGACAATTAGGAATCATGACTTGTCTAAGATAAATACAAAGATAATATTAATCTATGAAAGCATTCAAATGCCTTAAGATAACATGCAAGTAGAAACATTTTGCCATGCGATCTATGCTTGAATCAAATGAAAAAGACACGGATATAATAGAGCAGTTTGCCATCAAAACAAAACTATTTATATATAAATACATAAGAAATATCTTTCTCTGTCTAGTATAATATTATAATACTTGTTGCAAATTCAGAGTACCTATCACTTGATGGATCATTATCATTAGAAAAACGTCTATCATTTTGTTGATTAGTTTTCCTCAATCGTAATACATTTTCTGTTGTAAGTTTGCTTCTTAGTTTCTTCTCAGTTTTTTTAGAGTTTCTACATTTTGTCTGTTTTCATCTTACCTTAAATATTATTTTATCTTTCCACGGTCCATCTGTCCAATGTTATGAGTAGAAGCAGTCAGCAGGAAACTCTGGACATTAGTTTTATAGTATTTGGAATTCATCAATATTTGGAATTCATGTGTACACATGATCATTAGGGAAATGTGGGTTTAATTCTGTGTTACCTAAATTCATAGAGACTGATGTTCTCTAGGACTGAGATTAAATTACGTTTGATTGATCGTCGAACAGTGATCAATTAGATATATGTGAAGTTTATATCATATCTCACTATTGTCAGCTATCTACGGTGAAAACTGATTAACTAGTCAGTTAGTATGAAACTGTATAAACATTTCCATCTTTTGAAGGTAAATAGTTTTGAAAATCGAACAAAACAGTTGTTTTCGAGTTTGCTTGTTTTCAGTAATCTACGTTGCTGTGTGCAACTTACCTAATTGGTCATGCTCGATATCGTGAAAGAGATGAAGACGTTTGCAATGAAATTAAAAATTCCATAGAGTTTTGTTCCAGAAAAGAGCTTTCATACTAGTGGACTATTACTTTCTCTCTCTCTCTCTCTCTCTCTCTATATATATATATATATATATATATATATATATATATAGTTATCATTTAACTATTGAGTAACGAGATTATGTATATTTATATTCATACTATTGTAAGCTTCATTTTGACCTATGGATTATTATCATACGAATTACTGTCCCTAAATTATATTCAGTTTATTGATTATTGTCTCCCACGTTCACAGCAGCATTTGGCTTGATCTTGTACAAATATTATTTTCTATTTTAATGTGTGATGAAGTCTGTCTGTCTGGTATATAAACCAAGTATGCTTGTAATAAATGATTCGCATAACAGAAGCTGCAATTCGTGTTTTTGGACTCAATCGAATGGGCTAGGCGGACAAGGGACAAATAAGGACGCAATGGCTGCTGCTACACTGGCTGTCTTCACCTGCTTTTGTTTATGTGTATGAGATAGAAAGGCTAATTCATCTGGAAAGTTCAGATTTTCTAGCTGGTTCTTAACTGTCCATTGTAGTTATTGTCACTGGTAAAATTCCGAGGTCTTTATAACCCAGTCAACCTCCATAAGAAAGAGAAAAAATGGGTGTAAACAGTCTTCCCTGTCAATGGTCATCGATTGTAATGCGATTATGAGCTGTCTCCATGAACCACTTTCAAGTATAGTTCATCCGTATGATAGTCATAATCTTCTCGGATACATCATAATGACGAAGATGGTTCCGTAAGGTTCTCCTAACCACGTTGTCGAATGCCTTCTCATAATAAATGAAGTCACTGGATTGTACTGAATTTCATCCAATTGATTGTTTAAAAATTATCCGCAGTGTCACAATTTGGAGATACACGATCTATCCTCACGAAATCCGGCCTGTTGATCACGAGGTTGGGTGTCTACTGAATCTTCCACTCAGTTAGAAAAGTATTGTTAAAAACCGTCCCCGGTACCGATAGTAGTGTGATGTGTCTTTGGTTCTCACACTTACTGAGATCTTCTTTCTAGTTTATCAGTACTTGGTCCCCTTCTCAAATCTTCCTGAATAGAACGTTGAGCATCTCTGCAGTTCTTCAAAGTGTTCTACCCACCTGTTTCTCTGTTCTTAAATCTCAGTGATTGACTTGCCGTTTTTATCCTTGAGCAGTCACTTTGATTTACTATATTTTCGTGCTAGTTTCTTCATTGTGCCATGTAGTTGTTTCATATTACCCTCTCCTGCATCTTTTTCCTCTGTCTTCGACGTATTTCTGCTTGTCGCCTTTAATGCTTTTTTCACTTACTTGTTTGCTCCCGTACATTCAGTTTGTCCTTTCATCTTCTCTGCTTTTGTACGGCTGTTTTTGATTTCTGTCTTCTTCTTCTTCCTTACTTGGATCTTGTTTAGGGTTTCGAAAGAGATCCATTCCTTATGATGATGTTTCTTACAGTCCAGAACCTGCTAGAGCGTTGAAATTGGTGCATCTTTAATCCATTTTTAGTTGTTTTCCATAATATTTCCTTTTTTTGTTGAGTATATCTTGTAAGGCTTGGAACCTGTTGTTGAGGGTTATCTTGAATTTGTTGAGTTTGTCAGTATCTCGAAAACAGGCTGCATTAAACCTTTATAATTTTATTTATCCGATACACAGTGCCTCTTTAGCTTGATCTGAAGCTATGTTAGCTCCTCTTTTGGTTCTCACATCTTCCATTGATCTTTTGATAAAATAAGATCGATCTGGTGTGTGATCCAGTGAGACTCATGTAACTTTATGTGTGCATTTGTGGTGGAATATTGTACCGCTTATAAACATATTGTTGAATGATGATAGTATCATATATGTTACATATTATGTCATTTGTTTAATTTTTAAATTAACTTTTTTATCCAGATGATTTGTGTGTGGATTTTAATATATTTATTTATCGCATATGTACGTATAAAACTACTCTGGCGTCGTAATTAATCTCACAGCTAACAATCATAAAATAGAAAAATCTAAGCAGAGATGGATTGTGGCTAGCAGTGGAATCCACGACGCGCGCTTCGTCCTATCCGGGACTCGTCAGCTGGATGTACCTGCATCTCAGAGTTGATGTTCACTCCGGGACTCGAACCCAGCACCTTTCGCTTCAAACGCCATCGCGTTATCCACTCGGCCACTAAGTCCTGATAGCCACTTGCTATATCTAGGCAATACGCACAGTATGCACATATGCCAATTAAAGACTGACCAATTGCAGTCCTAATACATCGATGGGAAGATTCAAACAAACAATACTAAATGAAGAAAAATCTACGTTTAATAAAGGAGAAAACTTTTCGGTTTCAGTAGACTTAGATGTGTATTTCATTCATTAAAATTCTAAAGTTCTAAAAAAAGATCAGGTTATCTAGTTCTATGTTATTATATGTTAGTTCTTTCTTCAAATGATAATTTTGACGACATTTTTTATATATTTTCTCATTATTATTTACTGCCACCTGATTGGTTGCTACTGCTTTTAGTTCGACGTGTTATGTATCCTAAGGTCGTTACTTGTTACTATAAAAATAAAAACCATTCCTTTGTAGTATTCTGAATTCTGTTATCCTGAAAGTTACTTCTTTATTAGTGTGGTTCATTAATATAAAATTGTTGTTGTGTGACAGAGAGCCAGTCTATCAAAGTTCCTACTTTTTGAGTCGTATAAGAAGAATCCTGAATCGTCCATAAATAGAATTTATTGTTGGCAGGTCGGGAATCTTGTTATCTTAGTCTTTATTATGAAAAAATAATTCGATTTCTTTACATTTTCTTTTTGTTTAACAATTAGACATGTAAAGAGGTTCTATTCAGTCGGTTTTACCATATTTAAAAAAATGACATTACTTAATGATTCACACTTCAATTGTGTAGTCATTTTCGTGCAATCTATTACACAATCCTAGATAATTACTCTTTGAATGGTTTCTATGTCAAATTTTCTTAGGTCGGTAAAATGGAGTATTTGTGTTAGTTCAAACGTCTTGAAAATCCGTAATCTCACGATGTTAAACGGCCATATAAAGAAGAGTTATGAACAGCAGTAAAAAAAGTATTCAATATATCGGGGGATTATGATAGGTTAACTGACAGAAATAAAAATGCCTTTGAATGCTTATAAGGATATGCTCTATTTCTGTAACCACTTTGAAGTCAGAAACATGGTGAATTCGTCAAATCTTGACATGTTAATTTCTCCAACATACCAGTTGATCTTAATGGTGTGATTCTAAGGACAACCAATAATATTAAGACTTGTAATCATGGATTTTCTGTGAGTGAAATTATGGTAATGTAATTATTCTACTAATGAAGTCAAACTTAGAGCATTGAGGATAGTTGTAATATCTGTTCATTCCGATAAACTGCTTGATATTGTATCTGATACATTTAAGCGAGTAATGGAATCTATCATCTTGAACTATTGCTGTTCCTATGCCTGTATGAGTCTTTTTACATAGTGTACACTTTTAATTTACATTTTGATGTTTAATTTCATAGTCTCTGTTTGTTATCCACCTTTAGGTGTGTATTATAATGGTCTGTTGTTGAATGACCTAGCTGCTGGTCTGTCATATCTACCATTTATTCAAGTGGAAAGATTTGGGAAAGTTGAATATGTGCCCACGTTTCAACCGCTTTTTGCTATATCACGTTCAGTTGATGAGTAAGTTAGAAAATAAGCCAAATGTATTAGGCAACTGCCCATATAATAGCTATTTAATTTTGATTTTCCGGGATTATAGACAAAATTATTGAAACAGTTTTATAATGCGAAGGTTACCACTCAAATGATGCTTAACAGGTACTAGGAAAGACTTTAAAATATGAAAAGAATAAACTATGTTTCGAGAAACACATTCTAACTTAGCAAAGTGGATAACGCGATACCGTTTGAAGCGAATGGTACTGGGTTCAAGACTTAGAGTGAACATCAACTCTGAGACCCAGTTACATCCAGCTGACGAGTCCCGGATAGGAAGAAACGCGCGTCCTGTATTCCACTGCTATCCGCTATCCATTATTTTTTGTAATTGAAAATATTTAATGTTTCCATTTATTAAGGACAAAATTAGTTGAATAAAGGTTAAAAATTTTAATGCTTGGGTCATGTTTAGACTTCAGAGTTCCTTTTTGTAATATTCGAGCTCCTTTCAATTACTTTATCATTTTATCGGTTTGAACCTTCCATTCTAAATGATCACTTTTGATTAGTCGCTAGTAATTAGACTCTTTTAAACAAAGTAAGAACGACAACACTTGCAGAATATGATGAATTCAAATAACTCCAGAACAAACATGAATGAAGAATTATATGAATTCATTATATTTCTTGATTTCTCATCAGCTGCTAACAATCATATTAGTATTGAAATATAACATTGAACATGATCCAAAGAACTTGAAACTAAGTGGATTATTCAAAACCACTCAAATAAGTGGAGTGTAATGTGATAGAAGCTAAGAATTAATGTCCTACATTTGCTTGAGTTAAAAATTCTGGAATGTTGAGAAAAGCTTATTATGCAATATATATATTTTAAAAAGTTTGGAAAAAAAGGGGCATATGAGTTCAATTCAGCAAATTGTGGTAACAATTAATTGAAGGGAACAATAAGTCACAAGGTTATAAGGTTAGTTGGGAATAGCTTGCTGAATTTTTCTGAACACAAACCTCAAGTTTATGACCTCAAATTGCCGTGACTTCTGGGGATTTAGGAAACATAGAATTGGAGTGCTTATTGATATCTGCAAACGAATAACATGAATCCACTTCATAGCACTTGTCTAAAAGACAGCTTACTGTAATAAATAGCTTTTCTAATTTATAGTATTTTTCTTTTATACATCAATGCTTCATGTCTTAACATTATCTGGTAATTCAGATTAGATTTACATTATTTACCATGTTCAGTCTAAATCGTGGCTTCAATAAATAATGGGTGATGATAGAAGGAAAATGATGGCTACCAAATATAATCATGTGACCTGAATTGTTTAAAATTAGTAAACATTCAATTTCATGTAATTCTACCAATGAATTTTCTCAAAGTAGTTTCACAGTTAATGTTATAACGTTTGCTAGCCTTCATTTCCTTAATCAGTTTCCCAGGGAAAAACTCTCTCTGGTAAAAATTTGGATTTATTCTTCTCAAATCCGAGTACACTTGTCTATCTATAGACTAGTTACTCAACCAATTACACTTTTAGGTTAGAAAAACTGACCTTGAACAATGACGTGTGACCATGACTATTTTTGTTCTATTGATATAAACAGCTTCTCTTTTCTTTTGAATTAAAGAACACCACCGGAAAGCTTCGATAATCATATTTCAAGCGCACATGAGTTTACATATAGACATAGCAGACAACATCACACCATGAAAATCTTTATAGTTGACACATTAACAAGCAAAATTTGGTAGTGAACAAGTCAATAACAATAACTGAAAGACAGTGAAATGTATAACAATAGTCGACAGGACGAATAGAAGCTTATAAGAAAGGGAAATATAGAACCATAAAATTTCAAACACCTTCAGTACTCACCCCAATATAATAGGTGAAAGAATCAATTGAAAATCACCCAGTAATCTTCTATTCCCTTGATTTTATTGATTATACCTATTATTATTATTATTATTATTGTTATTATTATCTGTCTTACTATTTCTAGGTCATTATCATTTGAGTCGAAAAATGTTGATATTCAAAGTTCATCAAACATTCCAGCTGACAGTGCAACAACATATATCAGTCAAGATGACTACAACAACAAAGATTTAATTACAGATATCTTAGAAAGATCATCACAAATTTCACAGACTACTGATTCCATTTCGGGTTTTTCATTGTCTAATTTCCAAAATTACACCATTATTATTTCGAACGAATCACTGAATAATAATAATCATACACATAATACCAACCAATATCAAATGGATCGTAAAAAAGGGAATCCATACATTCAATTAAAGGGCGTTAATAAACAAATTAATATATGGTTGTTAGTTTGTTTAACTAGTATTAGCCTTGTGTTATTCATCTTTCTCACATTTCTAGCATATAAATGTCACTATACTGAATATTTAAAAAATCAGCGTTCATATCCAAGAAAAATTATACCTGACAGACAACACCATCAATGTTCTTCACGTAAATCTGTAGATACTAATCATAGTCCAACTGATCATTCATTAAAATTAAATGATATACATTCCAATATAGTCCCGAAACATTTCGAAGATTATACAGATCAAACTATTTCATCATTAAATTATACCCCTACATTATCATGCAGTCAAAGAAACCCATCTGTATCCACTTTTAAACCAACTTCTTTGATTTTTGTAAATGAATCCGTTAATCTTCCAATCAATTCATCAATGACTGAAAACAAGTGTATAATACATAACAATCCTATATCACATATATGTCATATCAATGTAAATAAAGTTCTAATAGATGATTCAGAAAAATGTACATTATCACCTATTGAGGTTAATCTTGACTGAACACTAGATTTAACTTATGATTATAAGATTAGTTCATTCTAAACATACCTAGTGCATTTCATCGATAGTCAATGAACCATTCAACATTGATTTTATCATATATACAAGATGTCAATATAATCATATATATGAACTATGCTAGAACTGTACAAAAACATTCCCGTTTATCCCCAGTTTTGTATGTGGATCATCCAATCTTTACACATGATAACAAGTGATGCCATATTATTATTATTTCATGATCAGATGTATATTTCTACAGCATTACTGTTGGGGAGGGGGTTTACGAAACTAGCTTAGAATCCGAATATGGCGTTCAAATCAACAAGACGTAACAATTACCAGAAAAGTAATAGTTGATTGTTCTGCATTCAGTCATAGATACGTGCATCATATATGACATCATCATGTGAATAAATTAGGCTAACAATTTGATATGAACTATAAATAAATAAATAAAACCTCAGAAAAATTGTAAATTATATTCTATTACATAATCAAGATAGAACTGAACAAAATGAACATTTTCATTGGTTTACATTCATGAGATTTTGAAATTCCTTCAAAGATATTTGGCGACATTGAATGATGAATCGAAGAAATTTCTTATAATAAACTTTTATTAAAATATACTATCATAAGCATTGTAATGTATTACTATTTAATTTATACCATATTAAACATAACAAAGATCTAAATTCACTTGGTATTGTTTGTTTGAATCTTCCCATCGATTTTGTTAGGACTGCAACTGGTCAGTCTCTAATTGGCATATGTGCATACTGTGCGTATTACCTCGATATACCTTAATTCACAAGCATGGTTAGCAGAGATGGATAGTGGCTAGCAGTGAAATCCAGGACGCGCGTTTCGTCCTATTTAAACTTCACCCCATCGCACAAGCAAATGGCTATCAGGACTCAGTGGCCGAGTGGATAACGCGATGACGTTTCAAGCGAGGGTACTGGGTTCGAGTCCCAGAGTGAACATCAACTCTGAGATGCAGGTACATCCAACTGACGAGTCCCGGATAGGACGAAACGCACGTCGTAGCCACTATCCATCTCTGCTAACCATAACAAAGATCTGATTACTGAAAAAAAGATAAACGTGAAAACATTTTTTTTTATGAATTAAATAATTTTCATTTCCAAAGGTTATTGTTACAGTACTGTGGTGTCGGTTGCTTACATTCACATAAGTAGTATATGACGATGGTTAGGTAGAGAATGTATTTCACTAGAAGACCGATGAGGTAAAAACGGAAGCGGAACGTAATTAGTATTAAAATGCATGGACAATGAAATAAGAGAAGATGGACTGATATTTGCAGAAGGAACGGTCAAGATTGAGACAATTGATTGATAGTTGACTAATTAACTGTTTACTGTATGTATATAAGAATTCTCGTCTAAATTAGAGAGAATAGTTTCACAGCGCCGAGTTGATGTAAGACATTAAATAGGAATAATATATTTGTAAAATCTTAGCGAATGAATTTGTAGTAAATCCAACGTTTCGCCTGGCAATCTGGTCTCAGCTTTTTCAAGGAATTATAATCAAACATCAAAATTATCGAATATAAATAGGTACATGGTTCTCCGAGTTCATTATACACTGAATAGGTCATCCAATCAAAGTTAACAAAATGTCTAAACTAGGTCTGTTTAAGAGATATGTTATGTGTATTGATGAGTGTTCATATAACATATTGTATAGAAAAACGTAAGAGGTGAGAGGAGAAAGTTACATTCACATTAGATATTGTCTCTTATCAATGAAGGGGTTTTGTGGAGATTTAGTATTTTTCATAGTAGAAAGCTTGAGTCAATTGAAGCTAGACCACAATGGAAAACCTGGAAACACTGGACGGCCGTTTCGTCCTATTATGGGACTCCTCAGCAGTGCGCATCCACGAACCCGCTCTCGCTAGCGAGACTCGAACCCAGGACCTACCAGTCTCAAGCCGAAGCCCTTAACCGATAGACTACTGAGCTGGCATCCAACGGTGTTAATGTCTAACTTCAACTAATCCACGAAGTTGAGCAACCATTCACCAATTGTCTTCAGTGAGTTCCTATCTCACAACAGACGTGGTTTTGAACTCCACTGGTCACTGCTTCTTATCAATGAATTTATAAGGAAACATACAATTTGTAATATATTTGATATGAATCATATCTGTGTCACAGCATGTATAGCATGAAGATAATTAAACAAAATATAAATATAAAGGTGAAATTTGAAGATTGTAATTTTTGACTGTATGTATGTGTCATTTTTAATGTTCCAATGAATTGTTTAACAAATTCCGATAAGACAATAGATTAGAATCTTTAAGTGTAATTGTTGTCATTTTAGATAATACGAATTCGATAAAAACATTAAGGAGTTCAGGTTGTTACTTATAAATGATTAGCTGCCATGGCACTGCTAATTGTATTCCATCCCTCCTATTAATATTGTTTGGATTAGCCCAAATGTATAGGGCTTCAGCTGTTTGTCTCTCCTTGTAAGAATTAAAAGCTTTTTGAAGGATTCTTGTGCCATCGAAATCAATTGTATGACCTGATTCTATCAAATGTAATGCTATCGCTGATTTGTTCTCTAATTTCCTTACATCATCTGAGGATTTAGGAATATGTTTCAAACATTGTTTGTGTTCCTTCACCCTCACATTCAGTTGTCTTGATGTTTCACCTACATATGTTGCATTACAATCCCTACATTTGATTTCATAGACACAATTTTGTTGTTCTTCTCTATGTATTGGATCTTTAATTCCTACTAATTTTGATTTTAGAGTATTGTTTGTTCGAAAAAATACTCTTATATTTTGATTATTTAAGATTCTTCGAATATCTTCCGAAATTCCTTTCCGATATGGGATCACTACTGTGTTAACCCATTCCTTTTTCTGTAATCTTATTGTATTAACAATGCCGTCTTATCTTTCATTCTTAATTATTCTTTTAATAAAATCTTTTGGATAATTGTTCTTAATTAAGATAGATGTAATTAAATTTATTTCCGTTTTCATATCATTTGGTTCAGTGACAAGTTTTTGAGCTCTTGTAATCATATTTTTGACTACTGTCACTTTGGTTGAGTGTGGATGTGCCGATTTAAAATTTAGAAATTTTTCTGAATTTGTCGGCTTTCGAAATATACTAATTTTTAAGCTATTATTAACTTTCCTTTCCACTATACAGTCTAGGAAAGGTAATTTGTTTTCAGGAGATTCCAACTCTTTGGTGAATTTTATTTTTCTATCAAAGTTGTTGATAAGTTTAAACAGTTCATCCAAATGGTTCCGTTTTATAATGACAAAGGTGTCATCTACATATCTTAACCATACTTTTGGTGCCTGAGAACATAATGAGATGACACTAGTTTCCAAAGAATGCATAAAGAGGTTAGCAACAATGTATGGTTGTTAGATTTTAGTGAGATAGCCTGTATTTTTCGTGTCAGGTACATTGTATAGTTCCCACTCGTGTTCTTGCTCACTTCACTACTGTTGTACATTGTCTCTGCATAGAATATTCTGTAATAATTCCAACAGGATAATTATTTGTTTCACAAGTCAATACTGCACAAACATATTCATTTATAATTGAGATTACTGCTTCAATGTAGCTTCTATAGTCGGTTTAAACTTAATAGTTAGTTTTATAGATAAACCGTTAGTGAAGCGATGGTTTCACAGCTGATCTCTTTTCTGGCCGATTGCTTCATCGTTAATCTGGAGAATATGATACTTCACTTAATTATCAAGAGCTTGCGTTTATACAAAAATTGAATGCAAAAAAAATATCTACTCCTCTATTACCTTGGATAAATTCAATAATTAACATCGTACAACTGAATTGGAATTACAAGCAGAGGTGAACTCGGAGTTTCACTTCCTCGATATCCTATTGAAATGGTTAGACGATCAGCTATAAACATTCATAAACAGAAAATTAACATGAAATAATCAATACATGAATTTACAAAGTTGGCCACCACTAATCAGAGAAAGGAATCTAATTCACTTTGTATCACTGAGAGTTAGATGACTATGCTACTCGAAAAAAATTAGACAATGTACTACCCCAGATCAGATAACCATTGGTCGAAAATGATGATTAGTTTAAGTTCATTTAAAGTGACTTGAAAACAAAACTAAAATATGAAAGATCATTTCTGGTTTAAAGGACATCTCTCTTCATGAATATTGAGTTTGAAAGAGAAACTATGATACTAGACTTTCTGACATAACGAGCGCCATAATCTCTAAGGAAAATATTGTACACTGGTAAATTTTGTATCATCTCCATTCGATCTAATATTCTTGGATGTGTAAAGATGTACTTTTTATTTGGGCCAGATTAATATGCATTTATAATCTAACTTGCTCTTGTAAAGAAGGTTATATTGACCACACAAAGCAAACGTTATCTAAACGCATCTTAGAACGTTACCCATAGTGAAATTTAAAAGGTGAATGTAAAACAATCAATAACTCAATACAAGAGTATTTCATCAATTCTGAGTACATTACTCCATCAGAATCTTTCTTCAAAATAATCTGTGCACTAAAACAATTGGTCTAAAAGCAAACACAATCAAAATATTGTTCATTGAATAATTTAAAACATTTAAGTAGCTCAGGCCTCAACTTTGTATACAATCTCTTATTCATTTCCTTAATACCCCTTAAATTTTGCGTGTTATCGTTTACATTTCAATGACTTATGATTATCCACTTATAACATATAAATATCATGCAATTGTTATCATGATATTTACGATTTTCATTACTTCTTCATATCTTTCAAGTGAACAATTTTCTATCCTACTTCTGACCGGTAAATTATTTTCATCTTAATGTTTTTGATTCGCTTCTAGATCATTACGTAACTGTCTTTTGGTACTTGAAATCGCAAGACTTTTTAAGACTTAATATTTTGCTAAAATTTCATAGACCCATATATTCATTATAAATACGACTGTATGACTTCAGGAAATGATATTGTTGAAACGAGGAAACTTTCTTTGCTGATCTGTATTTTTCCTCAGTGATAGAATGGGTTACTTTTGTAATTAATATTTGTTATTAATACTGCCCAAACATTTAATGAGAAATTCAAGATCCAATCATTCAGGCTAGAAAAAACACAATATCATTACATCCTACATAAATGATTTTAGGCAATTATACACACTGTGGATTAGAATACTACTTTTAAATGAAAAAGTAGTTTGAGTGATTGTGTAATCAACTTATTTGGATATTAATTTTCCTTCCTAAAAATTTTCTACTTACAATGATGATGAACAACTGGCAACTTTTATGATTATCAACCTAAGTTTGTTGAAAGAGTTACAATGACCACCGGACCAAAAACCTATTAGACTTTTGGGAAGACAACATACATGTACATCTGTTTTACGTAGTTAAATCTACGTTAACCTACTTACTTACATACTTTCGCCTGTTACTCCCAATGAAGCATAGGCCGACGATCAGCATTCCCCAACCCACTCTGTCCTGGACCTTCTTTTCTAGTTCTATCCAGTTCTTATTCATTCTTCTCATTTCTGTCTCAATTTCTCGGCGTAATGTGTTCTTTGGTCTTCCTCTTCTCCTTTGACCTTCAGGATTCCATGTGAGGGCTTGTCTTTTGACGCAATCGGGTGATTTCCTCAAAGTGTACCCAAT